GCATTTAGGAACAGGAGCGTCTTTCTTAAGACTGTTTTCTTCTTCAGTTGGTCTGTGGATAATTAGATGTTGTCCCTATGCAGCAGTCCCAATCTCTCTGTTGGCTAAAGATCACTCTGTAACCAATTGCAGAGTCCAAATCTTTTGCAGGGCTCTCCTCTGCTTTCCTGAGCCACTTCTGGGATAGCAGATTCCTTGCCCCTGTGAAGAAGGGGGAATAAAGGTAGCATGTGTTATGAGAGAGAAAATGCTCTGGAATGAACAGTCACAGGAGATCAGATTAGTGTATCAATTTGCAAAAGACTACCCTTAAATCTCTCCAGGAAAAGCACTATGTCAAGTGTTGTGAAATCGCAGCAACTTGATTGTTATTTTAGAGTTTGTGTAGTACATCTCAACAGGATTAAAAGTAAGCTTGGGAAGAAACCGTGTGTTAAGCAGTCTCCTAAGACCCTGACTGCTAAACAGCCTCTGGGCATGCCCACCAAACTTGTAAGGGAGGCAAACGCATTGCCAGGTGCCTCCAGGTACCCAGAAGTGTCTTTCCAGCTTATCATCCAGCACCCGTAACTTTACGCGATGCCCCAGGGAGTGTGACTGGTGTTACCCTGGGACAAAGAAACGATCCCTTGTGTGAGCCTTTCTCTCCTTAATTATGTGTTATGGAGCTGATGTTTGCGTAAACCAATGCAGACAAAAACTGCCCATCTGTAGGATAAAGTGTAAGAATGCTCTACGTAAAGGCAAAGAGACCCCTTAGCGTACGCTGTATTATCAGACCCTCACAAAGGGGGGGTCTAGCCATGTAGCCTCCTGAATTGATGCTTTGAGAAATTAATGTTGATCCTTTTTCCAGTATCTTCATCATGTAAGTGTTGCTGCTCAAAGTAGCCCGGGGCAGGTCATGTTCCAGGGAGGTTGGAAAAAAAATAGTTCTATCCCAGCTCTTCCTATGACAGTTGATGAGATATCTTCATACTTTTTGCAGAAATACTGTTATATCTTTAATAATAGGAAGAGTGTTTGCAATGCATTTAGTTGTTTTAATAAAAGTGGGTTTTATGGGAGGTAAAGTAAGAGTTAGGTGAAAGCACATAACAGTATTAGGTTTATTAAAGACACATTGATACAGTACCTTCAGCAAGGCTAGAAGTTAGAGTACCGCTCATCTATAAAACTATTGAGAGAATTAAAGAAGCTGCTCTTAAAAGAAGGTGCATTTGAGTAAAGGTTGTTTATAGCCTTCTTTCAAGTGCAGAGATGATCAGTTTTAGATTAAAACTCCCTGCAGCTGAGAATATCTTGCACCATCTTGTTGAAGAAGGGCTAAAAGTAAATTTTGCAAGGTGAATAAGTAATCTCATGTCTGACCTCTAAAGTAAGAAATGGCTCTTGTGTTCTGTAAACATATATGACATTGAAAAGCCAGCAATCCACTGCGACCTAGGCCCAAAATCCCTTTGGGCCATTTCAGTTGCTACATAAAGAGCTCTGACAGGCTGCCAGTTCATTATGATGATGACCCTCCAAGAACAATATAGATAACATAACTGCTTAAAATGTGACACTCATGAGCACACTTTAAAAAAAAAAAAAAGAGAGAGAGTCAAAGGCTGTAAGTAAAGCTAGGGGAAATGAGAGGAAGCCCTGTTCAAACTGGGTTGTGAGGGGTGCAGGTGTGAATGAGATATGAAAGAGCATTAACGAAGGAAAGCCTGAACGCGCTGTGGAGCACCATAGGTGCAGCTAGGCCAGCCAGCTTTCTTCGAGTCCTGCGGCGCATATGAAGTTAGAGTAGAATTTAGTGCGAGCGATGAAAAATAATAATACAAGGAAAGCCTAAATGTAGGAACACAAGCCTGAAAAAAATAAGAAAAGAAGCAAAGTGAGGGTAATATGCCAAAAGTGAAATCCCACAGAGGGGCCTCACAAAGTACAAAGGCCCACGCTCAACTGGAATGCCAGGTTTTCTGGTTTGGAGGGTTGTGTGGGCTTCTCTTCCCCCCTCCCTCTCCCCATTTTAATAGATTTCTTCCCCCCCCCAAAAAAAAATTGACCTGGTATATCAAGTTGTTTAGAATCGTGCTCTTAAGCTGGTCTCTTTCTCCATTGCAGCCTTTGCTTTTCACAGCGCCTATGAGCTCTCATGCCTGTGCTCAGCTTGAAACACACAGTAATGCCCTCTGAAAGAGTCCCATGAAGGGTCAATGAGACCATTGCTCGTTCTGGCCTAGTCTGGACAGAGGGCTTGCTGCTCTGGATGCCTTGTGTTGAATGCAAAACCCATGCTCCAAACCATCGCCCTGCAGCCACTGAGACCTGCCCCTTCTCTCTGGTGTGTTTTGGAGCAGGCCCACATGGGAGCTGCAGCAAGTAGCTACAGTCTCCAGCCATGTGCTCTTATTTTCTCTGTGCTGAACAGCTGAGTACTCCTGTATTTAGGCACAGGACAATGTGTTACCCTATTAAGGAGGCTGAATCCTTCCTAAGTTGAAAAGTATTTGCTAGGGTTTACTTGTCTCGTTCTTTTAACGAGTTACTGACCTCAGTTGTGCAGAGGCAGTTATTGCAGAATATTGCTACGTTTGGACTACCTCTTTAGTAGTTCCTTCTCCTCTCCCTTTCCAGCAGGCCTTCTAAGGAAGTCTGCCTAGAGAATATAAAAATCAGTAAAGAAACCAAAACCAAAACTGCAGATAAGGAATGTCAGGCTGTGACTGTTGTGATACGGTTCTCCCTCAGCAGAGGCCGTGGTAGGCCACAGAACATCTAATCCTCCACCATAAGCCAAGAGAAAGCAGCAGACCTTTTCAGCAAAAAGGTCCTTCTTATGGCTCCAGTGGCTCTTTTTGTTAGATAACTTAGGATTTATTGACAGGAGTTTTTCATACGAGGAGTTGGAGTATAGGAAAAGCAGAGTTTCAGTACACGCTGAATAGAAAAATGACTGTGCTGAAAATGTGCTATCGCCCTCTTGTTCCCCCTTATCAAATGTAGTGGGTATCAGAGTATTAGGATTTCCTGGAGAACGGACTGTTTTCCTAGAGTATTGGGAAAGAGCTTTGGTTGAAGGCAGTGTGAACTTTAGTTAAGAAACTTGTTATTTGAATTAGGCTGGCATTTGTGGAGGAGCTTTCAAAGTAGTTATCCATCTCCCCTTGCATGCAGTGAGATTTTATGAGGAAGAGCCTCTCAAAAGCTTTCAGCAATTTAAAAGCATACATTGCTTAAAAAAAAACATCAGCAGAATGTCCTCCAAAGTCCCTTGCGTTTGATGGCTAAAACTCTTAGAAGTTTTCAACTTGGTTAGATTTGAAATTCCTTAAAAAGGAAATAGTTAAACCATACTTTTGTGTATAGGTTTGGCATTACTTTCTTCTTACCCTCTAATGACATTCAGAGGACTTAGGTGCATTAGCACAGGAAATTAATTCTTTGTTCCTGCCAGAAACTTTCTACTCGCTGGCTAATCCCTGAATAATATGATTGTACAGGTGGCCCTGATGTTGCTTCTGGGTCAGTCTTGTGACTTAGTGTTGGATGAGCATTTTTAACTGCTATGTTCTTGTCAACAGAATTTTCCATTAATCTCTCATTCTGAACCCTGCCTGTGGTTTTAGTCTTATTAGGCTGCTGCTTAAATCACTTCAGAGATTCCTTTAATACAGTTCGCCACTTTCCATAGGTATGGACATTTTGGGGGGTTGAAGATTTTTCCTCAAACTGTACTGAAATAGCAGAATAGCTCAGCAGTGAGAATGGTTCAGCTGCCCCCAACTTTGTGCTGCTGCTGTTTGACAGCTGGTTACCGGGTCCACGTTAGTGAAATGTGATAGCTGCTCCTCTGCTCCGGCCGCTTGGCTGGCTTATTTTAAAGCCCTGGTGAAGGTGCGTTGAACTGGCAGCTCGGTGCCGAGGCAGCGAGTCCTCACAGGCAGGAACCCACTCTGCCCGGGGAGACCCAGCGTGACTGCCTGGGTGGAGGGGGCCTATAGCCTGAGCTAACAAAATTTTGGAGCGGCTTCATTTCCTATCAAGCCAGCAAGTGTGGAGGCTGCTGAGGTGGTCGGGGCGGCTTTGTCCTAGTCTTTTACTGAAAAACGCAGATTCAGTTTACAAACTCAGATCAAATAAATTCTATCAGTGAATTTCTATCAGAGATAGTTTTTACATAATTTTGGAATGTTTAATTTTCCTAAATTTTAGTGCCTGATGTTGTATTTGATGAGAACAGCCCCCCCCCCAGCCCCAGGGATACTCAGTGATTTATTCCAAGCTAGCCTCAACTTATAAAAATCAATGGTCCTGAGCACTCAAACTGCGTCATAAAGCTGTTCTCTGTAGCTGTACTTTTTAGTAGTAGTATTGCCTGTGGTCATCAGTCCTAGTGGCTTGAGCAGTCACCCCATAAGGAGTGGGCCTGGGTTTTGCTTTCTGCAGTCAGAACAGCAAAACGTTGGAAAATAGAGGGCAGGGTCCCTGCTGGAGGCTTTGAGAAGAGCATCCCGATACCCGATCTGAATTGGGTGGGAGTACAAACTAGGTGAAGTTGTTGGGACTCATCAGGCTAAACTCTCTGCAAGTTTTTTTGCATCTAAATACTAGTTTTGACAAGCATTAAGACATATCAGGACTGGTCTCACTGAAGAAATTAGACTGATGGATTTCAAATCAATTAAGTACATTAGCTTTGCAAGATCAGGATCTAAAATGCTTGGTCTAGATGTTATATATAGATTGGAATCAGAAATTGAGTTCAGTTTGCTTTGTATTAAAACGTCTCTCTCAAAATAGCCTGTTTCCTTCAAATCAGTGGACCACCACACCTGCAAGGAAGCCAGTGATGCGTTGGCAGGGTAACAGCTGAAGTAGCAACATTATGTAATAAATGTTTACATGTTCGCAAGTGTGCAAGCATTGAATTGCTTACCTGGCAGAATTCTTCTTATCCAGTAATTTGTCTCAATTTTTCCATCACATTTTCTCATTTTCTTTTCTAGCTTTGCTCACAGACAAACCTCCAAAGCCATTGTTCCCCATGGAGAACCAGCCAACTGTTATAGATGTCCAGCTGGGTAAGTCCCCTTCTGGGAATAATAGATCCTAAACTTCCACTCTAGTAGCAGATGGGAAAAACGGAAAGAAGCACGAAAGGTTTAGTGGCACTGTTACTACATGCAGATCAATTTGTGGCTTCTCATTTGTAACTGTAGAATTTACTGCCATGGCAATTTAAGGGAGTGAACTTGTGTAACATCGGGGAATGGCAGTACTAATTGGTTACATTGGGTATGAAATACAAAGTGCTGCTGCTCTTTTTAATATATGATTGATAGACATATGTCTATGTTGCTGCAGTATTGATCGGTTGATGTTTGCCTTGAGACAAATATTCTCATAAAAGAAATGCCGATTCCTTTAAAAGTTAATGGAAAACAGTGCATTTTCAGTTTGTCCCGAATGCTTACTAGGAATGGCTTTTGACTAAAATGCTTGTATGCTTTTCTCACTCCTATTATATTTTCTCCTGTGATTGCTTATCTCTGAATCTCAGCTGGCAGCCTGTATTTTCTCTCATGTTGAGAAAGTCTGTTAGAGTTCTGCAAACGTTGGGGAACTGTGGGGCTTCTTGGGGCTGTGGGAAATGTTCAGCTTTGATGTTTCAGCGTATTTTTTCTTTAGCTTGAAAATAGATTTCTAAGTTTGAGAGGTAGAACTGGAGTTACTGTTGAGGACTGGGGTACCATGAGTTTAAATGACAAAAGATGCATTGCAGATGTGGTTTATTTACTCTGTGCCAAGGCTGTGTTTTCCTTGAGCTTGATTCTGTGTTTTCTCTTATACCCAGTTTGGTCAGGCTTCGGTGCTGGAATGGTTTTTAAGGATAAGCAGGGTCAGAATGAAAAATGCAAGTGGGCTGGTAACAGTGTGGTAAAGCCTTTTCTGTGATACTCTGCAAGATCCTACTTAAGCAAGCTACAAAGGCACATCCTTGATTTAAAATCAGGTGCTTAACAATTTCAGCAAAGCACTTAAGTCACCTAAATTAAGGAAGCATTTCAAAATGGGGCTGGAATTCTTGAATGAGATTGAATCGTGGCAAGAATATGAATCCCTTGTGAGGTCAGCTAACTCATATAGCTGAGTTTGCTCAGGATTTGTAAGGGCTTGCACAGAGAAGACAGCAGTGGGTTGGGGAAGTAGCCAGCGCCAGACGAATTCTGCAGACAGGCGTGTACATGCCTGCTCAGGTTCGCCTCCGCAGCACTTGCATGCCTGTAGCTGAGTGCACAAATTGGTCCTCAAAAAGGAAAACACAAAATGGGTCTGAGGCCCCATAATCAAAGGCCCACCTCAGGTAGCAGCAGGATACAGTCATCTAACTTTGGATCAGTCCCAAAAGGCTGAGTTTGGTCTCTGAATCCAGCTTCTTAAAAGTCAACTTTCTAATGATTTCCTTTGGGAGCAAACTGTCCTTGCATGTGCAATCAAGGCACTCAGAGTGCATATCTTCTTTCCTGCATTTTTAGTCCATCTTCATTTCCTTTTCCAAGTGCCCCTGTTCCATTAGGACTGTCTTGTTTTTGTGCTGCGTTTCTTCTCTCCTGCGTGAAAACATTTTGCTCTGCCTGATTAAAAAGAGACTTGATTTAAAAAAAACAACAACAAACAAAGCCCTTCCTCTCCTTGGAGATATGCTTCAGTAATAGGATTTTGGAATATCTCTAGAGGCAAATATAAATCTTGCATCTTTATATCCTAAAATGGAATCCATTAGTTGTCTCCTAGGAGCAGGGAATTTACATATGGCACCTTTTTCCTCATGTGGTAAAAAGTTTGGTTATTGCCACTAAACCGCATTCATATACTGGTGTAAGATTAGTGTTTATGAAAGACCCTGAACTACTTTCTGTAACATGTAAGTTCATTGCTTTCCCTTCTGACTTTTAAATGGCAGAGAGTTAGAGCTAGAAACTTCTTGGAGAAGTGCCTTCAACTGCCTTCCACTGGGGGAGTCTTCCCATGGCACTGGCCTGGGGGCTGTGCTGACCTGTAGTGTTTGCCGCGGACCCTCTGAGGACCGCAGCAGCAGGGTAGCAAAGGTGATCGTTTGATAGCAGCTAAGTAACGGAGGAGAAAGGGAAGTCCTGTGAGTAAGTTGCAGGTAAGGTTATCTACTGGAGTTTATTTTTATTTTTAAAGTCTTGTGAAGCTAGCAGCTCTGGAAGAATGCCATTCTTCTGTACTTTATTAGAAATCAAAGCAAAGTTTCTGTTTGAAAGGATTGCATGGAGTCAAATTATCCAATGTGCCTGTTTTTCAGTAGTCATGCAAGTATGAATGTGCCACTAAACTACAAAAGAAATGGAGTTTAATCCATCTACTTGTTCTGAAGAGATTATTTTGGACTTCTACTGGCAAACTAATCTTTAAAAAAAAAGGCTCTTTGCTCTATAAGCACAGCAGATTAACAATTATTTACTGTCTTTATCCATAATGATTAGCGCAATGCAATGTGGCACCTTCCTAGACCTAGGTAGAGGCCTAACTATTTAAATAGCTTCCTATTTGGCCTGATTGCAGACTTCAATATTCACCTTTTGGCTTTCAGCTCTTGTAAGAAGATTGAAATGAAAATAGGTATGCACGATTCTTATTGCCGGTAGATAAGAGTCCCTTCAGGCTTCAAACATGACCCTGAGCTTGTCTTGTTCTTCTTAGGTGGCATGAGTGTACTTTTTTGTTTTTTCCCTTTTTCTTTGACAAGATCAAAAACGTCTCTGTCAAGGTTAGACAGAAGCAGAGTCTAGAATTTACCCCTTGTTTTCTATATTTGCTTGTGCCAGAGAGACAGAGATGAGGGGAGGGAGCACGTGTGAGAGAGGAGAAGGTGACAGGAGGACAAAAGAGCATCTCAGAGGACTAGAGGAGTAGTCCAAAACAATTTCATTGTCACAGATGCTTTGCCAGGTCAGATAATCACTTCATCTCTGGGCGGACCTAGAAAATAACAACAGGTTTTCTATTGTTCATTTGCTGCTTCCTTTTCACACAGAACTTTTTTTTTGTTTCATGGTTATTAGCATTGGGGCAGGGAGTAGTAATACTACTAGACTGCATAATATACAGCATACTTAATCTTCTTATATCCCAGTTTTACCAAATAACTTTTATTCTTATTACACAGAATGTTTTTCTGCAAATACATCAGGTTAATCTTACAATAGCATTTACTTCCTGAAGAGGGTTCCTCCTGAGGTTCTTGGTTAGGTTAAAACCAAATTTGAATGTATGAGTGAAAATATGATCAGCTTGACGTCTTGCTGCTGGCCGTGCCCATTTTGTTTTGCCCAGGAGATGGTATGGCTTTAACAGGAGGCTCTTAAGGTTGCATTTGAAGAGTTTTGTACCATAACTCCTCACTTTTCCGCTTGCAAAATGTGACCTTCTCCCTTGTCAGGGTCTGAGTGTGAGTTTATTAAAGCTGATGCCAGTGTGATTCAAAGTAATTATTCAAAGATCCTTATTTCTAGAGTGTTCACTGCTGCTTTGTTAGACCTGACATAACCTAAGTGTGTGTGTGAATTGTTCATGCCATCCCTGAGGTTACAGAGCTCTGGAAGTGATTTGAAAAAGTAAAGATTCAGACACAGTCAGAGGTATGGCTTGAAGTCTTCAGGTCATTGCGCAGTAAGTTTTAAAGATCTAGTATCTGTTTCTGATACAGCTGTTCAGGCCGTAAGTGGGGCATGCTGTGCTATCAATCTTACGATGCCTTGTTGGTGCATCACTCTACTGATTTCTTAATTGATTTTTAAAATTCTTTTCCGGCTAACTTGTTTCACTCTGTGCTTTGAGAACGTGGACGGAAAGATAGCTCGACCTTTGTGTTCCAGGCTGCCGCACGGTTGCAGAGCAGGCTCTTCTCCGAGCTCACTGCTCTGCGCAATTCTGGCAGCACCAAGGAGCCAAAATCTGACTTGGCGCAGGTAGCTGCAAATTCTCACGCTGCCCATCAGCTCTCAGCTGGTATAAAAGTGGCCTGGTGGGGCCGTGGGTGTTCAGGGAAGGGAGAAAGGACAGCTGTGCTCTGCTGGTCCTTGGCTGCGCAAGGATTGCTAAGGGTGAAAGGAAGGGCGGGCTGCACAGCTGTATCTAGCTGGTCTGTGTATAAGTAGCTCCCAAAGTCATTGAACTTGCCCTGTGGCTGGTATTTTATAATTCTGTGTTCCTTAGAGTATCCGAAGACCTAAAAGCCCCCTATCAAAATAGGAGCTAAGATTTTTCTGTTCTGTTAATTCTGTAACATTTATAACAGTAATTACAATGTTCAATTAGTCTTTTCCTTATGCATATTGAGTGAGAGTTAGGTGAGATTTGAATGAATGTTTGCATGTCTCTCTGTATATTAATTGAATATATCACTTATGTACCGTTTGTTTTTGAACTAGATACGAGCTTTGTTTTCAGACGTTTACTTAAAAATGTAGCGTGAGTGTTACTTAGAAAAACAAAACAGTAAACATTTATGTTAGTTCACTGACTAAACAAGGAAAATGTCAAGGGATTTACCTCCCTTGTTTCATAGAAGTTTTTCCGCTTCTAAAGATGCAGAGAAGAAACATGTAGCTTATGAGGATTCTCCTTCTTCCAGTAGTTGAGCTATTCAGAATTTGCTTCTAGGAGATTTAACAGTGCAGTTCCTTGGGACTGGTTATTAAACAACTCAGTAGAGGTACTGTAAAACAAGGGAAAGGGAACATACAAACTTACGGTGACTATCAACATGTGTGAGAATAGGGTGTATATAGTAAATAATAATGATGAAAGATCCTTTTTGTTTGAAGCACTGGTTAGAAGGAGTCATTTGGGAAAGCAAAAATCCATGTATGTTGACATATTTCAGATGCAACATTAACTGTCCAGAGTCTTAATTTTCATCGAGACCTCACTTCTCTAAAAAAGAAAAAAACTATTTGCAAATTCTTTCAGAGACATTAGTTTCATACCAAACGCATCTATTCAAGCAGTCTAGCGTTATGTGCTGTTACTGGTTGACTGATTAAATGGATCT